GTTGTACCTATGACTTGTATGTTTTAGTTTTATGTAGTTACAAGATTCGAGACGGAAGCTTGAGCATTGCACATTGCAGCAACTGTGCTTTAGCCTTGTCAACCTGCAAACTAAAAATCTATTTCAAACATTTATTAGGTTTCACAAAATAAATAGACGATTTTTTAAATGTTGAGCATAATCATCCCAAATTCTCTGGCGGAGGTACGTGAAGAATTTGGCCTTCTAGCTTATCTGTTTCCGAGAATCGCTCTACAAAGCGGACGAAGCTTGCAGTTATCGAGTAGGAACCGATTGTCTGCATTCTAACGAGCGCATGACCCGACCTTTACGCAACGGACCTTGGCAGAAAGCCGGGAGCCAATATGAAGAAAATAGGATCACTGCCGCATACGTTGACTCGAAGAAACCACAATATGTGGCAAAGATTTATTTAATAACTGTACTATAAACTGCGAAAATGTGAGCTAAGCACAGTAATATGTAACTCGACTAGTTATGAACTTCACGAAGGCCAGTCTTTTATCATTCTCCAGGCCCTAAACACCCCAGGGTGCCATAGGAAAATTTGTTGGGGGCTAGCAACAAAGATTTTGCGGACATATTAACTCGAGTTTTTTCATCGTCATAAAGGAGTCTTCCATTAAGTATCAGACTGGTTATTATTAATAATATTATACGCTTGATCTAGTGATCTCGGTTACACCAGAATGGACTCAAGCTTGTCTATAATTTGTACAAGATCAAGCCAAAGCATTTAATTAATGGTTTCTAGAAAACTATTCCAATTAACGTCTAGATTTTAAATAACGTTATTTTGAAAAACTAGTAACAACGAAACACGTCTAGCACACATTAGAAGGGCGTTGACCCACACCTACAGTTATTTATGTATTTAAAACATCGTATTGTTTGTGCCTAAGTAGGTCTGCAGTGGGCGCGACAATCCTTGAGCACTCAATGCACAATATAAAGTAAACAATCATTCTGAAGTAAATGAGACAGATCGGAATTGGGGATTGTCTCAGCTTGCGCCTAGAGTCTTGTACTATGTAATAATATTTAATTATGTTTTAAACTGAATAGCCATCTATGTAGATAAACACGTCAATAAAATTATACGACGCAAGTTAAAAAATCTGCATAATTATAAAATGATCAAGTCTTGCAAGTTTATAGCAAGATATTACTAGTTGTTTATATTAAAATTATTTATTGTATGTGTATGCATTATGTGCATGTCTGCTGGCAGTGTCGTAAGTACATAAACAATGACACAGTTACAGAGGAACTTGTTTTTTGTGTAAACTTACAAACACATAAATGTGATTTATTATGAATGGTGTGAAATAAATATTGCACCAACTTTTATGTCTTACACTAAGGAAATCAGCTGTTTGTTTGTATGAGCATTTTAAATCACAGAAACTGCTATGAAAATTATTATTCTTGATATCAAAAATGGCAACTAGCTCCACAGACACAGACAACTTTATTTTTTCTAACCCTATATGTGAAGTATATCCAAAGTAACACTCAAAATGTATAATTAAATTACATATTATCATTATAACAACACACTTTTTGTTTCTACTTCGTTTTTGAAAACAAGTTTAAACAAAATGTTATACTCTGAAATGTTGGCAACAAGATATCAATAAAAAAAACAATAATAAGACACAGGTACCACAAAAAACAGCCTAAGAAACTGGTAAACCGGCTTGTGTGTGCTTTTTTGTATTAGAAAAAGATGTTTAAAACTATATTCAGATCAACAAGTTGTATTTAGACTTTGTACCAAGGCTGAGGTCAAGGATAATGCTTCTAATGCTTAAATATTTTGTATAATATTCAATTTGCTTAAATACATGTTGGATAAACCAAGTTGAATTAATATGTGTTGTATTCTTGATGATGCAAGGTGTAATATAATAAGTCTAATTAGTTCTTATAAGTCTTTTCAATGACAACATGCAATATTTTTGACAGTAAAATTGTCTGTGATTTATTTACATGTACACATATATGAGTCATCATTACTAGCATGAGTTGCGAAAAATTATTATTTTGTCCAATCAAATTGATGCAATGAAAATAATTGTTGTGTTACCTTTGACCAAATGAAATATGACTGGCTATGGTGTAACTTGTGCGACTGTGTAACCATTTTGTTGATTATTTCTAGAAAGATTGCAATCTACCACTGTAAGATTGTGAAGCTAGTTACCATCTATTTTCCTAAATAATATACATTGTTATTTATAAAGATAAAACAAATCCTTGCTAATAAAAAAGAATACAATGAATAGTGAACATTCTTTTGTTGTATATAAAAGATACACAATGCAATTTCTGTATCTGATCTCTCAAATAGACAATTTTAGACCTTGGAAGGTGACCTTAGGAGGTTCAAGGAACATTGAACATGTTATATGGCAATAGGCACGGCTCAATGAACTTATAGACAAATAAAATATCTAACAGAATAATATAAAGTATGTGTAAATGGCGGTTATAGCTTGGTATTTTCTTTGTTTATAGAATCTGGTGTGTTTAAAACAAAGTTCAATATTGTTTTAGCAAATTTGTAGTCATTTGTTAAACAGTTTTAATTAGTTTGTATATGTTTTTTTAATTAAAATACCATTTGTGGTTCAGTTTATTTCAATAAAGTATTGAAATATCTGACTGATTTTGTTATAAAATGCTTGTTTCAATAATAAATTCATTACAATAACAAACAGTGATATCATTGGTTCACTAAAGTTATGTGGGTTATCAGCTGTTAAAAATAATTTGTTTATAGCAATCAGACATGTTACAGATTCAATGAAAAGAATATTGAGCTAGTACATGTTTGTCAACAAGTTATACACACAATGGAAAATCAATTGGGTAATCTAATAGACAAATCTTTTTTAAAATTAATGTAGTAATCACTCACACTTGGAAATAACCTACGGAACCACATTCATTATGTATTCCTTCAACAATTGTCACAATACTGCAATAATAATTAACTAAACAAGCTCATTAATATATGCCTTCAAATCAAATTCTTTGTGCTTTATTTTGCTATTTATTTTATACAATTAAAATCAAATTGGTGACTTGTCAACTCTTAATGACTGGCAAATTACCAGATTTAGATTGTTCACACACTGTAAAACATTCTAATTGGATAAGAAAGTAACATTTTCGAATATTTAACGTCCGTCATATACGGCTCATAAAAATACAAAAACTGAAAACACAACGTATGACCAAAGTTCAACACGTAGTCGTAAGGTTAAACCCGCGCAAATAAACAATATTAATTACGTTCTAGCGCACTTAACCTCAGCCTAATATCGAATATTTACAACAAAACAATGTAGTACCTGAGTGGAGGCTCCTGTCCGCGCCCCCGGTCATGTTCACTACAGTCCGTCCAACGGTACCACTCAACGCGTCAGGCGGGCGGTAGACTCCGCTCCTGGCGGCCCAGCACCACAAATCCACGCAGCAATTATAAAAAGAACCCAATTTCAATGTCACAAAGGTAACACGAGGGTAACGGGGCTCGGCGACGCAGCCGATTCGCACTGACGTTCGCGATACTCACTAACAACGCGTTCTAACCATAAATATCATAACATAATTTACCTTCTCCCTCATGGTAATCAGTTTCTCGATGTTTATGTCCTTCGACTTCAGCCATATTCAATTTATTTATTTCGAGATCTGACTGGACTGAACATAGCGACGTAAAATTTTTCCAACACGACGCAAGTTGACAACTTTGCGAAGAAAAAAAGACGTGTCATACTGTCAAAGTCAAAATAAGTCGAATTTTCAAAAATAATAAAATAACTTTAAAAATTATTTAATTTTTTGTGTAACTTACTACATAAAATTGCAATTAATGTTGTTAAACTCGAATGTAAATTGCTTTTATTGGTATTAGTGGTATGGTAATAATCATTCATCTTTGTTTGTTTGTTTTTAGTAATACTATTTTGCCCAACACTATTACTCACTATTCATATTTTTTGTCTAGAAAAGTGATCTAGAAATATATGAATTTCAATAAAATCAAATTAAATATTATTGAATTTTATATAGAAAAATTATATATATAACAGAAAAATTTAGTTAGTTTTTTATATAGGTAACATCATCAATTTAATCATTTATTTAGAGAAGGGTTAACTCATAATCATAAGTCACACATACCCATACTTACTATACTCTAAAGAGTATAATAAGTATAGGGGCTATACTTTTCGCCACACACATCAAGGACGTTGAGAATACGTCCTTGACCCATAAAGTACTTAAAAATTTCAGTGTACCCACTCCCACATGGTACTTACGTAAATAAATATTTCGATGGTATTTATTAGGAAATTAAAAAATTCGATGTCCCTACTTGGTATTTAAGAAGAAAATTAGTTTATTATTTAAAGGTTCTAAGTCTTATGGCATTTATTGGGAATAAAAATATCACATAAATGATTGAGGAATTAGGTAATGATTTAATTTGCTAATGATCAACAATCGATTACGAGGTAATCGATTCAACGTCATTAACGTAACAATGTTGATAATTTAAACTTCGGAACACGGCATTTTAATTTTCATTGCATTTTCTACGTTGTGCCTTACATGGTCTATTAGTTGATATTGAAATTAAAATATATTACATTGAAAATATTGGATACAAGTCAAATCGATTTGTATTAATCGATAAATATAATTATTATTGTAGTACAAAACCATGTGTCTGATAGATAGTCTATATCAGGCACCAAATCAATTATTAATTTATTAGCTAGCTAGATTGGTAATGCCAATTTATTTAGTACTACAAGTTATATGTGATCCCATATAAGGAGCCTATGTGTGATACAAGTGAAACAAGCGAATTTATTTGCAGAAATAAATTCACTTGTTTTACATATTGCTAGGTTTAGATCACTTCATTGAAATAAAATAAAAGCACTGATATTTACTAACAAATGTTTTTATTTAGGAAATAAAACTATACAATTATTCAAGTATGAACTATCTATGTAATCATTATGAATTTAAGACTCCATAAGTAACTACAAGCCTTCACTAATGCAGTAGTTAGCCTTTAATTAATTATAGCAACATTACAATAATCTACGGATTGAGATAGAGTATACATTTATGATTTTTATTTGAATTACAATGTTATAACATGTAGTATCCTTACAGAGCTATAATTCACCTCCGACATACAATAGATTGTTAGACACGAGACAAGTTTATCTAACAATCTAACTTAATGCTAGATGTCATCAGAGTTCTGCAGTGTCAGCAGGCCCTGGTATTCCATTTCCTTGTACATGATGTCCTGGTTAAGAGTATGCAGAATATCCTGGAACCTCTGCCTCAATGCCAGGTTCTCCATGCCAGCAATCTCATGCTGAGTCCTTTGTCTCCTCTGTTTCAACTCTTCAAGTTCAGCTCTCAACTGCTCAATCCTAAGTGTCATATTGTCCTTAGACATATTATCTCTCGGTTGATAATCACCATCATCCTCTGATGATAAACCACCGCTTTTAGACATTCCTGATGCTGCTGGAGTAGTTGCCCTGCTGTGGCCCGGGAATGACTTTGGAGCTAGGTCTTGTGGCGATTGGAACATGTGTGACCTGAATTGTGTAGGCATTGTACTCTTTGACGGACCTTCACCATGCATCGAGTTGGTGTCAGATAGTCTGCTGTCATAAGCTGACAACCGACTGTCTTCCATCTCCACATTGATGTTATCATCCTCCAAGTCAGAATCACTGACTGCACCACCAAATATGTCCACAACATTGGAAGATTCATGGTTGGACACATCAACAGAGACAGACTCTCGCTTAGGATTACGTTCAGCTTTGGTTTTCTTCTCAGGTTTGAGATTAACAGGTGCACTCTGTTCTTGTTTGGGATGATCATCTTCCTCCTTGATCACCTCCCAGTTAACACTCACAGCCTCATTGTCTGCTCTCAGCAATCTCTTCACTTCTTTTTCAATTTCTGGTGCTTCTACATATTTCTTTTTAAGGGTTTTTCTAAATCGACGCTTCCGCACATTCTTTGTCGGTGGTGTGATGCCGTGAGGCCATAGGAACTTTTTGTCAACTTTGTAAGGATCTTTTTTCTTATTTTTAGCTGGTGACTCTTCCTCTGTGGATGGTTGGTCAGGTTCTTCTTTACATATCATCATTTGGCATATATCTGCTGTTTTGTAGAAACTCTTGTTGTCGATCGTTTTGAGAGATTCTATGATGGTTGGTAGGTCTACGATCTTGGCGTGCATCAACCAATGATCAAATCTTACCTCGCCCGTACGCATGTCGTTTTCTATTTGTATCGTCAGTCTGTTTTTTAGGTTCTCTCCAGATTTCAACACTTCTCTCAAAACTTTTGAAGGCTCCTCAGGTAAGCGCATTACAAATTGAGACTCCAACTCCGTTGGATACTCGGGTTCTCGTTTATCTCTATTCATTGTAGTTAATTTACATCAAGTTTTGTAAAAATTATTCGTTATTCAACGTCGTTGACTTAGAAGTGTTTTAAAATAAATAAAATTCACACTATATCAATAATCACTAAAATCACACGAACACGAAAGCAAAACTTGTAAACACGTCCATGTCAGAAACAACCCTGAAACAACCACAGATCCACAACACAGACAATACAGTATAGACAATAGAATGAATGAATGAAAACTGTGTTACTTATAAAACTCAGTGTTGCTAGCTTAAATAAGAATAAGAGGGCTGAACATTGAATAATCAAGCCAAAGTGAATCATAATCTAGTTCCCATTCATTCCCATTCTATGAAAAAAAGTGAATCATGCTTCATAATTGTTGACATCTGTCATTTTATTTAAAGTTGATGGTGTCAGATTTCCGCATTAATATTCCTCATTTGTTATCATTTATTTTAACTGAAACAAAAAGATTCAACAGAAAATGCAGGTAAATCACTAACCCAATTTTTAATTTTATTACTTAAAATAAGTGTTTGATGTGTTTTTTTGGTATTAAACATGGTGTTTATTTTTAGAATCCTAATGAGGATACAGAATGGAACGATGTCCTCCGAGCCAAGGGAATCATACCTCCCAAAGAAGCGGAGATATCAGAGGACCAAATAGTTAATATGATAGAGCAGACCATCCAGCAGAAACAGGCTGAAAGTTAGTATAAACAAAGTATATAGGTTATGGTAACACCTGTTGCTAATTTTGAGAATAATATAAATTAAAACTTTGGATTTTAATGTCCATTCAATAATAAATAATTAATCAATCAATTAGTGTTTATAAAGTTAACACAAGTATTATAATTTTTTCCTCTCACTCACAACTACTCTTCAAGTTCCACTTGAGTGACAATACATACCATTTTAATAACAGTAAAGATATAAACATTTACATAAGTGGGTGTAGTTACAGTACACAATCGTAAGTTTATTAAGTATCATTACTTTATAATACAATTACCAATGCTATTTCAGAGGACAAACAACTCTCAGAATTAGATTTAGATGGCCTAGATGAACTTGAAGACTCTGAAGATGAGGCTGTGCTGGAGGAATACAGGAGGAAACGTATTGCGGAACTGAAGAGACTGTCAGAAAAGCCTAGATTTGGTGATGTTAGGGAGGTGTCGGGGCAGGACTATGTGCAGGAAGTGAACAAGGCTGGAGATGGAATTTGGGTGGTCATACATCTGTATAAACAAGGGTATGTAGATGGAAACAACATAGTATCATTATTATCTGTCTGTAGTATTGATTTCTGCCCTGCGTTCATCATCACCATAGCAGTCCACTGTTGGACTAATATCCTCCTCTGCATGAGAGGGGTTTGTCATGATTTTTGTGCCCCAATCATTTGCCATACTTAAATTCACCATCATATACAGAAGTAAATAAATAATTAAATTGTTTTATAAAATTCTACTAAATTAACTAAATATTGCGGGTTACTCATGTGAATATACTGAGAAAAGCTCTACTAGTTTCGAACCCCAAAGGGGTATTTCCTTATAAGCAGCATGCGCTGTCACAGTGAAAACTAGTAGAGCTGTTCTCAATATATTCACGTGAGTAACCCATGATTTTTAGTTAATTTAGTGTCTCACAATAGTTATTATAAAAATTCTACTATCTTAATCTATTCAGCAGTTTCAGTGTTGAACAAATAATTTCTAATCACTCACATCTATCCTTTACAGCATTCAGCAGTGTGCCCTAATCAACCAGTATATGCGTCAGCTCGCAGCCAAGTTCCCCTACACCAAGTTCCTGAAGGCAGTGGCTCAGACGTGTATCCCTAACTTCCCTGAAAGGAACCTACCCAGTGTGTTTGTGTACTTTGAGGGTGACATGAAGAAACAGTTCATTGGAGGAACAGAGTTGAGAGGCACTTCATTGACTGTTGAAGGTATGTAGTCATGTCTTCACACTCCATATTTTATATATAGTCTTCTACTATTCTAGTTATCGAATAACCTCTTAAGGTATATAAGACACAATAGAAAATACATTGGCTCACGTGGATGTGTGTTTTGGTACAAGACGGGTTAAATTGGAGTTAGTACTAAGTGTTTACAAGATGACACAGTATGACAGTAGTTTAATAGATAGTTAATAGTTCTTTGTATGATCAGATGAATGCAATGGAAGCTGTTACCAAGTATTTAAGCTCTAAAGTTAGGAATATTTTTTGTGAGAAACTACTAAATTGATACGCTTTTGTTTGTTTTAGAATTTGAATACATTCTGGGTAAGGTTGGTGCAGTGGACTCAAAAATAACAGAAGACCCCAGACCAAAGATTAAGGATAAGATGTTCACCGACCTTGGCTCTAATGACTGGTGATTATAGTGGTGATCACCATCACCAGACAGTGAAGAGTTGTTGGCGTCACGCTTCGGTGCGGGTTTATGTGCTTTACTTGCAAATTATTTATTTTTAAAGATTAATGAAATTATTCTTATATAAGTACTAAAGTATTCATAAAAGTATCATTTTGTTTCTATGTTGTTAGATATTATGTAAGGAACACAAAGCATAAAGAATTACTACAGAGTGAATGATTCTGTGTACAGATACATTTCATTTAGTAGCAATTCTTATGTTAAATAGCATTTAAATAAACTACAAATAATAAATAAATGTACTTACGCATAGGAATTGCATTTGACCATTATTTTCTTTTCATTTTATCACAAAAATTCTAAATATTGAAAACAGTATGTTTTACTACTGTGGATATTATTATAAAATAAAGAAAATGTTTTTAACTATTTGTTTTATTTGCATTATATTTTACAGGAAATACTTATGTCTATTTATAGTTATTATAAGTATAGTTTACATCAGAAAGTAATTCTTCAGCATTGTCTATCAAGAGTGGTCAATAAACAGTGTTCATCTTCTGAATGATATTACATGGCGTAATTTTAACTTTTGCTCTTGGAAAAGTCACTGTGTATTAATTATTGTTTATGGTACAATACCTATTGTTGTTTGCTAGTCTATGAGATGAATATTGTTTAAAGTACGAACATAATTCTAAAGCATCCATACTCAAATTCATTCCCAGTACCTCTATTTTTACTAAACGAAATCAAGTCGAGTCCAGTCAGACTAAATTTGTTATTTACTTATCTTCACAGTTTTTACAAACTTGGTCATAATTCATTCACTAACAAACACATAATAATATAATATTTGACATCCTATCACACAACCAAAGTGATTGCTCAGATTTTGTGTCCGAACAATCTAACTTTTATCTCGCTCACACAATGAGACTAAAATGTCTTTCTTTCTCTTGTCTCTTATTATTGAGGTGTTCTTATTTATTTTTCACACTTCGATTTTCTCCTTAGTCTGGTCATATACAATCTTCAAGTTAGCATCCTCGATGTAAGTTAATGGTGGTGACACACTTGGCGATGCAGGGCTCCACGGGGTGCCGCGACTTGAGTCCCAGCTCGAATACTCGCATCAGTATCTTGGCGGCGTGCTCCTGCATGCCCACTAGTATATCTGGCAGCTTGTCCAGCAGTGATTGCGTCACTTCAGGCTGGTGAGAGTCCAGACACTCCAGTACTGCTTGCAGACCTGTAGTAAGTGAAGGAGTAAGTAAATCATAGTAAAATGAGTCGCAAATTGTGTTGCTTGGTGTAAAACTCGGGAACACCATGTGCATGATTCGTTAAGTTTTGGGAAGGAAGCACATTATGTATGAAGATAAAAAATTTATTGGTGGGGAAGGGTGATGACGAAATAATTTTTTTTTTTAGAGATTATGAACTAAATGTCACGCGTGAAATGAAATTATCAGACCTAAATTGGTTTAAACACTGAAATTGATGAATATATAAAGGTTAGTGAATGCTATGAAGCCGTGCGCGGCGTACCGGGCGTGGTGTCGGTGACGGCGGGCAGTAGCTTGGCGAGCAGCGAGAGCGCGGTGTGTCGGAGCGCGGCGTGCGGCGCGGCGGCGTGCGGCGCGGCGTTGTGTTGGTGCAGCAGGGCCCCGGCGAGCTGCGGCCTGCAGGCGAGGTAGCGGCGCAGTATGTACTCACGCGATAGTGTCCTTGTGTTGGTGCAGCAGGGCCCCGGCGAGCTGCGGCCTGCAGGCGAGGTAGCGGCGCAGTATGTACTCACGCGATAGTGTCCTTGTGTTGGTGCAGCAGGGCCCCGGCGAGCTGCGGCCTGCAGGCGAGGTAGCGGCGCAGTATGTACTCACGCGATAGTGTCCTTGTGTTGGTGCAGCAGGGCCCCGGCGAGCTGCGGCCTGCAGGCGAGGTAGCGGCGCAGTATGTACTCACGCGATAGTGTCCTTGTGTTGGTGCAGCAGGGCCCCGGCGAGCTGCGGCCTGCAGGCGAGGTAGCGGCGCAGTATGTACTCACGCGATAGTGTCCTTGTGTTGGTGCAGCAGGGCCCCGGCGAGCTGCGGCCTGCAGGCGAGGTAGCGGCGCAGTATGTACTCACGCGATAGTGTCCTTGTGTTGGTGCAGCAGGGCCCCGGCGAGCTGCGGCCTGCAGGCGAGGTAGCGGCGCAGTATGTACTCACGCGATAGTGTCCTTGTGTTGGTGCAGCAGGGCCCCGGCGAGCTGCGGCCTGCAGGCGAGGTAGCGGCGCAGTATGTACTCACGCGATAGTGTCCTTGTGTTGGTGCAGCAGGGCCCCGGCGAGCTGCGGCCTGCAGGCGAGGTAGCGGCGCAGTATGTACTCACGCGATAGTGTCCTTGTGTTGGTGCAGCAGGGCCCCGGCGAGCTGCGGCCTGCAGGCGAGGTAGCGGCGCAGTATGTACTCACGCGATAGTGTCCTTGTGTTGGTGCAGCAGGGCCCCGGCGAGCTGCGGCCTGCAGGCGAGGTAGCGGCGCAGTATGTACTCACGCGATAGTGTCCTTGTGTTGGTGCAGCAGGGCCCCGGCGAGCTGCGGCCTGCAGGCGAGGTAGCGGCGCAGTATGTACTCACGCGATAGTGTCCTTGTGTTGGTGCAGCAGGGCCCCGGCGAGCTGCGGCCTGCAGGCGAGGTAGCGGCGCAGTATGTACTCACGCGATAGTGTCCTTGTGTTGGTGCAGCAGGGCCCCGGCGAGCTGCGGCCTGCAGGCGAGGTAGCGGCGCAGTATGTACTCACGCGATAGTGTCCTTGTGTTGGTGCAGCAGGGCCCCGGCGAGCTGCGGCCTGCAGGCGAGGTAGCGGCGCAGTATGTACTCACGCGATAGTGTCCTTGTGTTGGTGCAGCAGGGCCCCGGCGAGCTGCGGCCTGCAGGCGAGGTAGCGGCGCAGTATGTACTCACGCGATAGTGTCCTTGTGTTGGTGCAGCAGGGCCCCGGCGAGCTGCGGCCTGCAGGCGAGGTAGCGGCGCAGTATGTACTCACGCGATAGTGTCCTTGTGTTGGTGCAGCAGGGCCCCGGCGAGCTGCGGCCTGCAGGCGAGGTAGCGGCGCAGTACGGCGGACACGCGGTGCAGCAGTGGACTGGCGGCCCCGCCGGGCTGCGAGCGGGCCAGGGACAGGAAGCACTCCAGGATGCTATGCACGTCTGCGGTGTTGGTGGGCGCGAACAGCTCGTGGTCGGGCAGGACCTCGAGCGCGGCCAGGACGTGCGTGTGGTACCGCAGGTGGGGCCCGGCGCCCTGCAGCAGGGCGGCGGCCAGCCCCAGCGCGCGGGACCCCGCGCCGCCCACTCGCGCCCACAGACCTCGGACTTCTGCTTCCATGCGCCACAGTCTGCAAAGATAATTCATTAATGAATAGTTATTTATGAACAAATATTGGTATTGTGTGATGGACATTGATCATGCTCCCCCTCGCAGTAGCGAGCGCCTACCTCTGGTTGTAGTCCTTGGAGTGCGCGGCGGGCGCGGCGATGGCGGTGAGCAGGGCGTGCGCCACGCGGTCGGTGGCGCTGGTGGAGCTGGCGGACGCCGCGCGCAGCGGCGCCGGCACCGGCAGCAGCGACAGCGGCCGGCTGCGCGGGCCCGACTGCAGCACCAGCGGCAGGATCTTCGGCACCTGCACGGGGACGGGGTTGTGCTCAAATCTTTATTTAAGAAAAGCTTTTTCAACTAAAAAATGTGTCGTTTTCTGGAATTGGGCGGCAACGAATAAACGGATTACCTGATAATAAGTAGTGAGTGCTGCCTAAGACACGTAGCACTAGAGGAATTATTACATTTTTTTAAATTCGAACATGGTGGTTTGGTCGGTAAAAGTCTAACACTCCCTCTTGCTTCACTCAAGGCGGGAGAAGTCATTGAATGATTTTCCCCCCTTAAAAAAAAGAGAACTTATTACTGTGTTTTTGACCTTTTAGGGTTAAGAATTTGTCGATTATTCTAGGCCAATCTCCTCATCCCCAAATCCCCAGGGGGATTCGCTTTCGGTAATATCACTCGTTTGGCTGTACAGAATGTTTCGATTGTTTCACTCAGGTTTTCTATGAGACTGTTGTATCACTCCGGTCGAGCTGGTACAGCGGTGTCGAAGCATGTTTGTCGTACGAGGACATGGTCTCCCGTCCATGGTCCTACCTTCATGTACAGCAGTAGCAGCAGCAGTGGGTCGTGATGATGCGCGGCGGCCGCCACGGCCAGCAGCTGCTGGTCTCCCGTCCATGGTCCTACCTTCATGTACAGCAGTAGCAGCAGCAGTGGGTCGTGATGATGCGCGGCGGCCGCCACGGCCAGCAGCTGCTGGTCTCCCGTCCATGGTCCTACCTTCATGTACAGCAGTAGCAGCAGCAGTGGGTCGTGATGATGCGCGGCGGCCGCCACGGCCAGCAGCTGCTGGTCTCCCGTCCATGGTCCTACCTTCATGTACAGCAGTAGCAGCAGCAGTGGGTCGTGATGATGCGCGGCGGCCGCCACGGCCAGCAGCTGCTGGTCTCCCGTCCATGGTCCTACCTTCATGTACAGCAGTAGCAGCAGCAGTGGGTCGTGATGATGCGCGGCGGCCGCCACGGCCAGCAGCTGCTGGTCTCCCGTCCATGGTCCTACCTTCATGTACAGCAGTAGCAGCAGCAGTGGGTCGTGATGATGCGCGGCGGCCGCCACGGCCAGCAGCTGCTGGTCTCCCGTCCATGGTCCTACCTTCATGTACAGCAGTAGCAGCAGCAGTGGGTCGTGATGATGCGCGGCGGCCGCCACGGCCAGCAGCTGCTGGTCTCCCGTCCATGGTCCTACCTTCATGTACAGCAGTAGCAGCAGCAGTGGGTCGTGATGATGCGCGGCGGCCGCCACGGCCAGCAGCTGCTGGTCTCCCGTCCATGGTCCTACCTTCATGTACAGCCGCGCCGCCGTCGCGCTCCACCGCGCGGACCTCCTCCGCCACGTAGCGGACCATCACGCCCAGCTGGAACATACACATACACATTTACACGGAATGACAATTTCATTGCTTACTTAGCTCACACTGAGACGGGATGTCCCAACATCGCGAGGCGCATCGCAACCTCCTTGATAACAAAAGGCTGCGCGATGTGTCACTATGCAGTGGAACGTGTTTCAATCTTACACGCCTTAAAAGAGTAATTCAAAAAACAACATTATTTTGCACACAGTTAGATACAGTTTCCAATGGAAGCACCACATACATGGACGTGACGTAGCAAGATACATCGCAATTCGTTTTTGAATCAGTTTTTCAAAGAGTGCGCATTGTCTGTTACGCACACGGGAGGTCGCATCAGGGGGCGATTAATTTAACGTCGAGGGCGATTACGACAGTCGTTGAAAGGATCCGGCAACTGGGACTCGAGATGGCGCTCCACAAATCCGACGCCATGTATTTTCATGGCTGCGGGAACGCGCCACCTCCGGGTGAGTCCCAAATAACGGCAAGAGGAGTTACCATCGGCGTCGAGACGACGATGAAGTCCTAGGACTCGTCCTCGACAGTCGGTGGAACTTCGTGGAACATTTCCGACGTTTGGCTCCTAAGTTGGAAAGGACGGGGGCGGCGCTTAAGCGCCTAAGCGCCTCCTCCCCAACCTCGGGGGGCCAAACGCCTCCTGCCGGAGGTTATACGCCGGGGTCGTGTGGTCCATGTTGCGGCCCGCTCGGGCGCTGCTCATGTCACAGAGGGTCATGGCGATCCGATTGATCCGCGGATATCGCACGATCTCCGGGGAGGCGGAGAACCTCCTTGCCGGATTACTGCCGTGGGATCTGGAGGCAAAGGTGCTCGCGAGCGTGTTTTGTTAGCGCGCGGAGGCACGTCACCGGGGCGAAGCTCCACTGCCGCGCCAGATAAGTGCGTGGTGGGAAGAGTTCCGGCGCGATCTCATGGCGGAATGGCAGCAACGACTGTCGCAACCGAAGGCTGGATTCGCTGTCATTGCAGCGGTAAGTCCACTGTTTGAGGAGTGGCTTGAGAGACGCTACGGCGTCCTCACCTACCGCCTGACGCAGGTTCCTATTTCGGATTGGACGGGAGGAAACGCCCGGGTATCGTCACTGCGAGGATCGCCCGGAGGACACGGTGGAGCATACGGTGGCTGTGTGTCCTGCGTGGACTGAGCACCGCCGTGCCCTCAGGAATGTGATCGACGACGGCGACCTCTCGCGTCCGACTCTGGTTCAGACCATGGTACGGAGTGAGGAGGACTGGGATGCCATCTCGTCCTACTGCGAAGCAGTCATGCTATCTAAGGAGGAGGCGGAGCGCGTGAGGGAACGAACCTCCTCACGACCCTGCCGTCGCGAGAGACACTCCGGGTGTCGGGGATCACGAGACGATCTCCGGCCACCGTAAGCGCGGGCCTGCGGACGGCAAGCACGGGTGACTCGCCGCCCGACCAGAACTCAAGAAGCCATCAGACCACCACAGATGGGGCCTAACAGGGCTGATACGGAGCCGCGGAAGACTTAACGGGTTGCCGGGGCTCCGGCTCGAAGTGCAGGAGAAGAAACGGGGTGGTTTTTAGTCAGTAAAAGTCTGACACTCCCCGCCTCAACCGGGCGGGAGAAGACATTGGATGATTATCCCCCCTCAAAAAAAAAGACACAAGAGTATAATCTGACCTGCTGGTAGTTCAGCCGCAGCGTGTCGTCGGGCACGTAATGTTTGGGCGTGGTCTTGTCCCGTCCCTGCCACACGCGAGGACTCTCCACCAACGTCTCCGCGAAGTCCAGCACTGCGCTCGGAGACCAGCCACTGTGGAACATTCTTGTTTAGTCTCTTGATAGTTGACTGTTTTGAATGATATCCAACCTTACAGAAAACGGCGTAAAGCTACTGAAGCGAAATGTGCAGTTGTGTGAGTGAGGGTACCGGAGGCCCAAACCGCCCCCCTTCCAAGGCTGGCAACTGGTATTTATAATTCGTCTAGTGCTGTGGGTCTACAGGTGGCACTAATTGCTTATCATCAAGCCGTCTATCTGCTCGTTTGCCAGTCTAACTAACAAAGAAAACAATGCCTAATTACAGTTACTGTATTATTTTCTTACCCCTCATCTTGCAGCAGCGTGGTGAGGCAGTAGTGCAGGGTCCTCCAGGACGCACGGTGGGCCAGCAGGGTCACCAGCAGTGGCCGCCAGGGGGCGCAGCCCGACCGGAACATTAGCTGCATCTGTACCAGTACCACATCTTAGAACTATGGTGGAAAATCAGTGATGGTCTTCGATTGGAATTGAGAAGTATGGCCCGTATCCTAATACTGTAATTGCAGTATAACTACAGATGTTTTGGTAAGAGCCAGCTGGACTAGCAGACAGTAGTTAATTATGTAGTCTACCACGGGCCAAACCATTATTATTCGTGAATCTGCAACCCATTTTTTTATATGTAGGAATCCCCGGGAGTCGCACCTATATATCATCTAGCCTACATCTAAAACCTGTTTAATTTTGCACCCCCATTAAGAAAAATCGCCGGACCGACCTGTCGATGCCTCTGGTCGCTGGGCCCGAGAGCCTCCCTCTGCAGCTCCGACATCCAGTCCAGCAGCAGGCCGCAGCCCAGGCCGCCGCGGGAGAACACATGTGCAGGACCCGCACTACCATCCTCGTGTTTTATCTGAAGAATAAATCATTAACTATTTAGTCATTAAGTCAAGAAATTAAATATAGTCTTGTTTGACCATAAAAACTTTTTGAAAACATCGTCATTATCATGTTGGATGCAGCTAGTATCGCGCGGCTTCTTGCGACCTTTATCTACCATTTGTTATTACGGTCAGTGAATGAATGTCCTCACCTTGGACTCGTAGTGTCCATCCTGGCTCTTCTCGAGTATGTGTGTGATGACGTCCACAATGACGCGCGTGTCCTGGCTCGATATGATGCGGTTGCCCAGAGCTTCCAATGTACTGGGAGACGCGGCCTCCAACGCTGGAAGTATAACATTTATGGTATTAAAGTTTTGATTAGAACTGATTGAGGGTTCCAGATCTCCAAGTTAGAGATTTCCAAGTTATTTATTTTGTATTTGATGACGTTTCAAAAGTACCAAACTATGGTTTAATTGAAATAAAACGCTTTGACTTTGACTATTTGTACTTTCTGAGAATATTTAGACACTACTGACTAACGGTAAAGGAAAACATCGAGAGGAAACCTGGGCTTATAATTTCTAATTATAAGTTTATAAAAAAGTGGTTATTAATGCTTTCTCCGTGAGAGAAGAGGCCATTGGTCAGCAGTGGGGTTTTTATACTGTCGATGATGATGTCAGTACCTGCAATGAGTTGTTGCTTGTTGGCATGGTGCGGCACGTGTATGTCGAGCTCTCGTTTGACGGTGGCGCCGCTCTGCATCATACTGCGCAGTACGTCCACCACTGGGCCCGCCAGCAACTTGCACTGCATCAGCAGGGTGTCTGCCACCTGCCGGGAGAGGCACGGGGTTACAAGTGTTATGTGACGGTAAGCTACGCTTGCTTGTACCGTTGAATTATAATTAAATTACATGAAATGTGAATATTTTTCGGCGTCGTCACTTAACAGTTCGTAACGGCGCGTGACGATCAGTAGCTGAACGACAGGACAGTCATTGCGCCGTGCGTCGCGGAATGTTACTTATGAATACGAGTCGTGAGATAGTGGTATGAGCCAGCGCGGCGGTACCTGCAGGACGTGCGGCGTGCGGTGCGGCAGCAGGGCGCGCAGCAGCGGCGCGGCGTGCGCGGGGCGGAGGGGCGGCGCACGAGCGCGGCGGCGCCGGCCGCGCGCCCCGCCAGCGCCCGCAGCCACGCCAGCACGCCGCGGGACGTGCTGCCGCCGCCGCGCGGGACGTCCGCGCTCACCAACTGGACAGGCATTCAATAACAATATTACACATTTGTCACCACGCCTTCTCTTCTCGCCGGTATTGCTTGAATGAGTTCAAACAATCTTTAGTGAGCTAAAGAACTACCACTTTCACTATTTATGTTATGAGTCCCATGTAGTAGGAGGTGAACCTATTCCCATATACGGGGCACATTTCTAGACTCCTTGCTACTACTGAATTTTTTTTTAAAACCCAATAATTCTTTGCCCGACCCGAACCCGAGACCTCTTGCCCGGCAGTTGCACTTCCGACCACAGAGCCTACGAAACAGTTCTGGCTACTTAAATCAGTCTAGAACAAAGACAACATTACCGCAATAAGCTCGGAGAAGGCGGAGTCGATGTCTCCGTGGAAGCTGTTGGCGGCGAGGAACACGGTGTTGAGCAGTGGAGCCACTTGGTCTGGATGTAATGGCGCCGGTACTACACAGCTACCCCACTCGTCCTCCGGCTCCATCGGTAGTTCTTCTTTCACGAATAACTTGTCGTCTGGAGGGAAACAATTGAGATATAGTATAGTTTCAAGTTCACAATACTTGAAACTTTACATTTTCAGTGACGGTGACCTTAATAGCCTAGAGCCAGTTATTTTTTTTCAGTTATTTCCTTTCAGTAGATAACTTGTAAAATGCTTCAGAGAGTTGTATTATGAAGTGTTATAGACTTCAGCTGCAGCGCGGGTGGTGGGTTGACCAATGGCAGCCATCCAAACATAAACTACATAAATAATTGTCGTTTTTTCCCAACTAGTCAAAGAAAGGAAGTCAAAGAAGAATTTCACACGCTAAGAAACAAGTAAAATGTACAGATGTGTTATTCTATTACTAGATGGCTACATGTTCATGTCCCAAGTCTGCCATGAAGTGGGTCCAGTTCAGCATGTGCAAGATAGGACGTTGTGCTGGCAAAATCGTCGTCTTTTCTAAGGAGACGACTATTAAAATTTTGTTTTCTGTCATGAAGTGATCAACCCGCCACGGGTACCGCAGCTAACGTTCATAATGTTTCATAATAGCATAAAGTCTAAAGTTTAATACAATATATCAACTGAGAGGAAATTGGTAGTAAAAATTTGACGCTGGTTTACTGGTTATAAATGCGAAACGTTAATCGAGTGGATTGTGGGAATCTTACTTTGTAGTGACGCATGGAGTGTGTTCATCACGAATTGCTTGGTGTTTCATTATTTATATTCACTCGTTTTACCGTTTATTGTTGAAAACAATATTAATTAATTATGCCGGTTTAGATCATTTTATAGTATGCCGATAGATCTTGTTGCAATTTAAGATGGAGTTAGAAGACTATAGTATTAGTTACGGGCTAAGTACGTACCAGGTGGGTATGTGAGCGGCGCGAGTCTGAGCGTGGCTGCGAAGGCATGTCCACCCGTGGCCCCCCGCGCGCGCTGCACGCCCAGCAACTGCGACATGTACCCGCGCTCCACGCCCAGGCGGGACAGGGCACCCGCCGGACACGCGTCCAGCGCTGAGAGGAGCGCACTGGGGGACAAACACACACCTTAACATACAGTATACGGATTTATATAATGGATTTTAGAGTACGTATTGCGAAGTCCTTGTCAGTAAGTGTACCTGGCAATGTTTAAAGGAAAAAGCAAGTATTTTTTAAACATTAAAACATTACAAAGAATAACTTCACGCCACTTCAGTATCCTGTCATCTAACTAGTAAAAAGTTCAGTAAAATCTAAAAAACACGAAAAGAAGATTCTAGACCAAACACAAAATAGATATATCATACCTCATAGCTTGCACAGGCATGCCGAAAGTCTGTATAAAGAGTGCCAGTTTAGGCGCAGGTAGAGCTCTCATGCCGGCCTCGAGCAGCGGCGGGCGCGCCGAGCGCACCATGTGCAGGCGCAGCCAGTCCGGCAGCAGGCAGGCCTCCGCCCCCGCCGCGGTGTACGCCGCCGGGGCCTCGCTGCCCACCCACACCGACATCAACCAGGAGTACATCTCTTGGTTTGTGTCATCTGTCGGTTAACAAATACACTTTGAAATTAGTCTTACAATCGAATGCGCAGACGTCGAA